TCACTAGCCACTGAAGCATAGTGCCTCAACAGAGAGGCGTTCAAGAGCAACTTCAAGGCTACCAACACCAACTTTTCCTTCTCAGACCACAGCTTTTAAGACCCTGCATTGAAAATGCAAGCTCAGGGGCCAGAGGTCATTGTGACTCAACCTGGATATGGTTCTGTTCCTGCACCCCAAAACTCCAACTGGCAGACGGGAGTATGTGATTGCTTCAGCGACTGGGGAGTCTGTAAGTACATGGGGAAAGTGCCCCTGTAATTGACATTGAAGTGAGTTACCAATGAATAATTCCTTCTCTCATTCCTCCCTTACAGTGTAGTAAAATTTCCAACTTATATTACAGACACCCTGAATGTCAGGCAATGGTATAACAAAAAAGGCTCTGTTCTGGTCATAAGTTAAATCTGCATCCTTCAAAGAACAGTCTTACTCTAAAATAAGTTCTAGAGTTAAGAAAACAGTGAAAGAACCAATTGATTCTAACAATGAATGGGCCTGGCCCAATGATTATCAGTNAGACCTTACATTAACAAAAGAAACATTTTACGTTTAACTAAGTTTTGTTTCTGTTTTTTTTTTAAAAAAAAGACTGCCCTTACAACATATAAATTAAACTCATATTTTATAATTACATTATGTCCAGTACATAAGTAATAGTTTTCATCCGTGGTTTCAGCATAAGCTCAAAGAACTATTTTAATTTATACATTTAGGTTTTTTACACACCTGAGAATAAAAAATTCTGAAGGCAATTAGCTTGTCATTGGCAAAAATATCTAACTGTCTTCTAAGATCTAAGTCGGATCTCTCTAAGTGAACTTGGAGGAAAGGAAGTTTGGAAGTGAGATGGGAGCAGCAGAGAGGATCATGGTGCTTAGTTCTCAATACCAACCATGATACAAACAAACACAACCAAAAAAATTTGCTCTGAGGTCTATTTTCTGTTTCCAGTCCACATTGTATTCTCAGACAAGGGAAAAAATACATTAACCTTTACTTACCAGAGAATATGAATCTTGAGATGCATCAAGTTAATAATTCCATTGAGAAGCATAGAAAGGAAAAGTTACATACAAAATGCAACAATTGAGTTTATTTATTTGCTCTCAGTGAGTTACTAGGTACCCTGGGGTGATGAATGATACTTCTCAGGACTTAATTCTCACTGCAAATCNTTGGGCAAAGATGTTCTCACCCAGGTCTCATTCACGTTCCATGAGCCCCTACTGCCTCCCACGATGGAGAGAGATTGGGAGTAACGTAACAAAATGTACTTTCTTAGGTCCGAGCCCGTGGCACACTCGGGAGAGTGTGGCGCTGGGAGCGCTCCCGCCCCGGGTTCGGATCCTATATAGGGATGGCTACTGCCTCCCATGATGGAGAGAGATTGAGAGTAACGTAACAAAATGTACTTTCTTATAAACTTTGCTGGGACACTCTGAGGGCTTGCCCCTACCACGTGGCGAGGGTCTGTCAAAACAGTACTGAGAGAGGATACAGGCTCTCAGTAAACTAGAACTGAAGGACAGCCTGGATTCAGGAAGACTGCAGAAGGCTACTAATCAGAAACAAGTCCGAAATAAGAGGGAGCATAATAAAGGAACTAGAGGGGGGAGGGGGAAGGTACACGGAAACTTAGGATTGTGCAAACTTAGAGAAATCTGTTTTCCATAATTTGCTCCTTCCAACCACTGTGGCAGATAGGTCATTTGTTTTCCTGTCTCGCGTGGATACCAGGTACCCGTCTCTTCCGCTCCCTTACCCATGACAAGCATGTGTTCATCTTACCAGTTAAATGAATTCCTTCCCCCTCAGGACCTCTGTCCTCTGAGGGATAGCGACAGGGACATTATGTTCTTCAAAGATCAACAAGCAACTTCATCTAAATTGCATCACTAGCCACTGAAGCGTAGTGCCTCAACAGAGAGGCTTTCAAGAGCAACTTCAAGGCTACCAACACCAACTTTTTCCTTCTCAGACCACAGCTTTTAAGACCCTGCATTGAAAATGCAAGCTCAGGTACCAGTGGTCGTTGTGACTCAACCTGGATATGGTTCTGGTCCTGCACCCCAAAACTCCAACTGGCAGACGGGAGTATGTGATTGCTTCAGCGACTGTGGAGTCTGTAAGTACATGGGGAAAGTGCCCCTGTAATTGAGGTTAACTGCCAATGACTAAATCCTTCCCCCATTCCTCCTTTATAGTGTAGTAAAATTTCTAACTTATTACAGGCACCCTGAATGTCAGGCAATGTGTTATAACAAAAAAGGCTCTGTACTGATCGTAAGTTAAATTTTCTGCATCCCTTCAAAGAAGTCTTACTCTAAAATAAGTTCTAGAGGTAAGATAAAAGTGAAAGAACTAATTGATTCTAATAATGAACAGGTCTGGTCCAATGATTATCAGTTAATCATTATTACCAGTTAATAAAAATCAATGATTGTTATTACATTAACAAACAAAACATTTCAAATTTAACTAGGGTTTTTTTAAAAAAAACCCGAAAAACCGTTATTATTACATATAAATTAAACTCACTATTTTATAATTACATTATGTCCAGTAGATAAGTAATTATTTTCATCCGTGGTTTGAGCATAAGCTCAAAGAAATATCTTAATTTATACATTTAGGATTTTTACACACCTGAGAATAAAAAAATCTGAAGGCAATTAATTTGCCATTGGGGAAAATATCTGACTCTGTTTTCTATTTCTGAGATCAAAGTGGGATCTCTCTAAGTGAACTTGGAGGAAGGGAAGTTTGGAGGTGAGATGGGAGAGGCACAGAGGGTCAAGGTGCTTACTTCTCAATACCAACCAAGGAACAAACAAACTCATCTTCAAAAAATTTGCTCTGAAGTCTATTTCCTGTTTCAAGTCTACATAGTATTCTCAGACAAGGAAGGAAAATACATTAACCTTTAACTTACCAGAGAAACTGAACCTTAAAATGAATCAAGTTAATTCCATTAAGAAGCATAGAAAGGAAAAATTACATAGAAAATAGAAGAATTGAGTTTAATTATTTGCTCTCATTGTGTTACTAGGTACCCTGGGGTGATGAATGATACTTCTCAGGACTTAATTCTCACTGCAAATC